AAGCACTGTTACCTCATTTCTGAGGAGCAGAACTATCCACCTACTTAAGCCGCAAGCATGGAGAGAATTCCGATGAAATTTATCAAGGACACAATGACCTTCTTCAGCACACCTCAAGGCAAAAGCTGGGAAGTAACCAATGATCTTCAGAAGGCCTGAGGGTGGAATTTTAACACATGACCTCACTCTGGCTCCTCGCTCTTTCTAACTACACTATCTTATTTCCCCTGGACTTTACAAATACAGCACGTCTTTCAAAATGAATGAGGACTCTCATGCCAGTATAATCTGCCACATCCCGTTTTGCTTTCTACGAAAGCTGTACAAACGGGCAGACAGTGTGTTTCCTGGCAAATCAACCGTGGGGATCATTTCTGTAAAATGTGCTGCCTCCTTTCTTACTTTGAAGCACAGACTACATTACAATGCTTAGTCTTTGTCGGATCAAGAACCAAGCAACGTTTAATTTCTTATAATCTTAGTGCATTAGTGCAACTATAGAATAGACAACCCGGGACAGACAATGTTTTTTTTTTTGGTGTTGTGATTATAAAGTTATCGTGTTAAGAGAAGCTCTACTGAACCGGCGTGGTGTTGAAACCGGGAGCAGTATAAGTGATAAGGGGATGTGGTGTCTATTTCCTCACTGTACTGTGTGCTTTCCCCTTGCATTCCGCTCAGTAAGAGTGAGAAAGCAGATCTGAGGGCACTTCCTTATTGGCAGGCTGGGGGCTCAGCCCTATGCAAATCCTTTAAAGCAGCAGACTGAAAATATGTGATCCAGTGGGTGGGTGAGGCCCAGCGATTACAATTCAAGCCACAGAGCCCTTGATTTATGTGCTGTATTGCATGAAGCGCCTCTCTCAAGACCGTTTGTTGGGGATGGAGAGTCGGAGCTTAAATTGTAACACTGGGAAAGCGAGGGGCAGTGGAAGGGTTTCAGTGTTTTAATCCAGGTTTTTGACTTAAACACAACACTTCCGCTTTTTTATTTAAAATAATGGAAAACATAACAATTAGATACACCAGAGTTCCAGAGGTAAGTCTATCCACCCATTTGCTTACTGCTGTATCTGTTGTAGGCGAGCCCGAGCACAAGGCAGGGTACACCTTGATCGAGAGTCCAGCTCATTGCAGGGAAGACGCACAGACACAGACGAGCACACACTCACAGGGGCAGTTTTTGTTCCCGAAGCCAGTTAACCTACCAGTATGTCTGGGGACGCTGGGAGGAAACCCACACAAACGCAAACACGTGGAGAAGATACAAACTCCACACAGACAGGACCCCAGGTCCGGAATCGAACCCAGGGCCCCAGCACTGGCAGGTAGCAATGCTCACCCCTGGGTCGTTTGACACAAAATGTCCAATCCAAAGAAAATTGGCGCAGTCTCATCGAAACGGTATCGCCAAGAAACCCTGCATAGTGGGAGAAAGACAATGAACAGGACAAGGGGGTCTTTCCTCCGGTTTTCAACACAGAGCAGCACAGAAATGGCTTTGAGTAAAAAGCACAGGGCATGCCCCTAACGCAACACTGTGCAGTCACTGTGAGTGAGCACTGAAGGGACTGTATGAAGGGAGTGTCCCTGTTGATCTTTCACTGCTTGATAGAAGTTAGCTGTGATGTTGGGTGGAATGGCAGCAACATGTATGAGCGGGTTTTTAGGAATCGCCACTTCTGTCTTGAGGAGCCGTTTTCCATTACCTTTTTGGAATTGCTCCAGTGAACACTAAACACATTGTTACCCCCTGCCTGACTCAGCGTTTTAGACTGAGCGGCAGCCTCGCGATCAGTTACTGACAAAGATAGTCTTACTGAGACAGAGACTCGAGCCAGACAGGAAGGGGGTCAAGTAAGGCAGCTAACTGTTGGCACAAACTTCAAACTTCATCAACAAGTGTCTGAAAAACACACACTTATACCAAGATCCCTGTAGGTAAAAAAAAGTTACAAATGAGTGAAGGCCAATCAGTCAGTCTTGTTTCTCTGTCCAAATTACCTGTACGTGAATCGTGTTGCTTTTTGGACACAAGAGTAGAATATCCTGTTTTTAACGAGAATTATTTTAAGAGCAACATTCACTTGTACAGAGGAAAGGATGAGCTTGTGAGGTTATTAGTAGTCCTGCCAGCCAGGACTCATTGAAAAGTATTCGTGATCCCACATGGCCCCCTCCAGTTTTTCAGCATCTCCAGAGATGGGCTATTGGTTCCACACACCCACCACCTCTTTGTGTAAAGCAGAGCCCTGTTTTCTCACCCCTGAGGAGCTCCTAATTCTCTTCTACGTTGTGAAGTGAAGGACTAGGTTTTGTTTGCAGACCCTTCACAAGCTCCTCACTGATCGTGTTTATTACAAAGCAGACTTTCAGTTCTTTCAGTGTACCTGCCGCCAGAAAACAAATTCAAAACCACTCAAATGAGATTCTCCCCATTAATAGAAAACATTCAAATAGTTTAAACTGAATTATCTCTCTGTCTGTGCAAGATATTATTCCTGCACATATTTAAAGTACAAGCTAAAGAAATATTCTTATTCTAATACTCGTTTTATTTGGTCACAAAATCTATCGCATAGTGTCTTTCGATGTCGCTCTGCAGAAATGGGCGAGAGCTTCTCTTCGGTTCCACGTCTGCGCCAAGTGTGTTATAAAATTTGTCGGCAACACAATTGTTTTCTCAGCCTTCTCCTTTTCTCTTCCTCATCCCCCCTCTTTTACTTGGTCTGTTCTTTTTTTTAAAGCAGAGAAATTCCATTATTGAAGGGTCAGCTTTTTATATAAAAAAGAAACCTGCTACGTACAACAGGGAGGTGACGAAAGGATGAAAAGTGTTCAATGTTAGATGTGCGTGGAGGGGGGGAGAGGCAGTTTGTTTCAGACTGGGGAGAAAGGTCAAAGACTTCTGGCTTTGGTGTAAAATACATAAGCCCAGGAGCGTCCTGCCTTGTGTTCACCACGAACGCGAAACGATTCGGGAACAACGATCAACGCTGTGAGAAGCCGGCAGCCTCGCACTATGCGAGGGTCCTGAACTGAGCGCAGCGGCTCTCGAAGTGTCCGCAAGCGCTTGGCAGCGACGGTACATTCCCGACAGAGCAGCTGTGACATTCCGGCCGCGCCAGGGCAGCGTTTAGCATACCAGGGAAACCCCACTCTGCTACTCATCTGTCGTCTCGCCCCTTTCTCGGGGCGACCCCCTCGCAGCCTCGCTGCCTGATTTCACTGCTCTGAGAGCCCGATTAAACAGAGCCAGCTGCCCAGGCTCAGCCAGGCCCCCTTATCTGCGATTCTCCCTGAGTGACATCTATGCCGATGACATCTGTCATTAACAGCTTATTCTGACTCACCCTGCTCAGCTCTGCACAGTGAACAGCGCTGTCCCTCACTTTACTGTCACTATAATCATTAGTAATTAATTGCATGAATAGGGCTTATTGCATACTAAATAATCATAACCTGCTATATATAATAGATGACTCTGCACGTCCACGCATAAAGACACCTGCCATAAGGCACCGGATGGAGGAATTTAAAGTGTGGAGCTTGGCGAGGTTTAATTTCAATTTGGTGGAATTTAACACCAGAGCTCACACCCCTTGCTCTTACCAACTGTGACACAGGATCTTTAAAGATAAATAGTTTCAATGTCTTATCCATAGAACAGTACCTCCTACAGCACAGTGTTCCTAGCCTTCATACTTGGCTACTGGTTTTGAAATTCTGGGCCAAGGAATTTGCAGGGATCCAGTGTGCCCCCTACTGGTAGACTTGTGAGAGCAAGCTGGTTTTCTTAGAGGTCTCTCGTCCCAGTACTGACCAGGCCCAGCCTGGCCTAGCATCTGAGAGCTGATGAGGTAACGTCTGATTTGGATGTTGGCACATCCTGTAGCACACTGTGTATACACTGGGACATTGGTTTGAGATTACAGGTCCAGAGGGATAGAGCACCACCTACTGGTCCACTAACATCACTTACAACAGCAACCTGGTTTTTCCCTGGAGGTCTCCCATCCCAGGACTGACCAGGCCCAGCCTGGCCTAGCGTCTGAAACCTGGCTGCCATGGGTAATGCTACTGTCAAATAACTCCTACAGGAAAGCTTGTTGAATTGACAGATTTTACTCCAACTACGTAGGTGGATAAAATGGATATTATCCATGTAGCAGCTATCTTTATTATTAGGCAGTCTGCACCATCAGTGCAATGAAGTGCTACAGTTCCACAGCTACAGAAAGGTTACAGAGTGCAACACCAGATCGACAACAGTGAAGCTTGTTTCAGATCATGACATGGTTTGCAATAAGCCATTGGGAAAAGAAATGTATAGGATTCCTGCAATGCGGCAAATGGGGTCCCAGATAAAATACCAATTAAACAAAGCTGTTGTGGTTTCAGAATTTACAGTATTAATCAAATAAGACCGCAGAAAGATGCTTCTATAGTCAAAAATGTCAACCCACCACACAGATGGATTCGCAGGTATGTGTGTGGACAGAATAGGATCACAAGCACTGTCTGAAAAGACTGATACCTTTTTTCTTCTTGGTAATAATATGGTACATTGCTCTTTCCATATTTCATATTTCTGCATAAACGCAAGATTGTAGTAATATGACGGTGTCCTTATTATCAAATTATCTTATGTGAATTAAAAATGCTTCCTTTATTCTCCAAATCTATGCTGCATTATCGACGCGGCACTGCAACGTCCTAGAAACACTGCTGTCTATATAAAGGACGGACTGTAGCAGGAAAGCAGTTAAATCTAGACCAAATCAGTGCTATCTGGGCGAAAAAAAACACACTGCGGGGTTACTGTGTGTAAAACAATTTGGCTTTCAATCGGGAAGTCATACGATAAACTTGATGTTAAATTTTCAAAATGGTAAACTCGCTGAGTCAGGGTACGAGCGACCGAGTCCGGAGCTCTGACCCAGCGAGATGGGGTGACGCAGTTGCACGCCGGAGACCCCGCCCCCTGGAAGGAGCTGATAAAAAGGGCTGATCGGCAGACACCTCGTCTGAAATCCTCGCCTGTCTCTGCCGAGCCTAGCCTACCTGCTGTGGAGGATCTGTACTAGCCCGCTGACGGCGTGTGGAGTTTGGGTCTGCCTTCTAATCTCTCTGCGGTTACCGAAGCTAATTAATCGCTCGCCGAGGAGCTCAAATCTAGGGAAATGGCCAGCTACCACAAGCCCGACGAGAAGACCCTGCAGGGGCTGAAAGACACGGCGAACAAGCTGAGGATTCACTCCATCAAGGCGACATGCGCCTCCAACTCCGGGTACTGAAACTCTTCGAGACCTAATCCCCCTACGACGGCAGAAGGGCCGTGTGTCTGCGTTCACGTAGAAATCTGCTCTGCTGCTCTTTCTGGGCTCTTGAAATGGTTATTTTCATTTTGTGCAGGGAGACAGGAGAATGAATGACAAGTGTGGGGCCTACCGGATATTTTTTTTCGAGTTCAGCCTCGAGTAGTGGGTGTGCAGTTCGTACGTGCATATAACAGAAACAGTCAAAATCGTCGTTGCTTACGCGTGTGCCGTACTTTTCTATCTTTTAAGCAAAAGGCATGGAATCAAATTAAATGTAAAATCTAAAACAAATAACGCTTCTAAATAACGGGTGGCGTTATTGCATGCACTTTGTCAGACTTGGTGCGAAACCTTTACAGTTCTGCAAGACAGAACACATTTTCAGTTTAGTGTTTTTTTTTTCCTAGGAGGGGGTCCGTGTCATATCCTCATGCGAGGCGAGGTCGGTCGCTCCGTGCGGCTGTGAACTTGCAGGGGTCGAGTCACGTGGTGACGGGGTGCTCCGTGGCTGTGGAAAGTCGCCCTTGTACGAGCAGTCTTCACCTTTGCGCCTCATCGAGTTAAAATAGCGAAAGTCTTCGCCACGAAGCGATCCGAACTGTAGTTTTAGAATGATTTCCGTCCCCCTTTTCTTATCTGGCGACTTGGCAAATGAATGTCGGCCTGCGCCTTGCGAGTTACTGAATCCGCATTGTGACTTTATGCTCCTCCAGCGTTAACTGGTAACCATGTGTGCACCGATCCCACCGATTATTTTCGCTCTAGGGCTTTTGTAAACTGAAGATGAGGAAACGCAGGATTGAGAAATCCCAAATTGTAGAATTGGGCAGGTGCTTTGTTTTTCCTTCCTTCCTTCCTTGTAGCGTTGCATATTTCTCGAATTTCCTCCTTCCCTGTAGTTAGGCTTTGGCGCCAGTCAATCCTGGACAAAACACGCTTTTGAGGAGGTTGATGTGAAATAAATCTATGTATATATACTGTACGATGTGTGTAAATATTTTTGGGAAGACCCCGTGAGTGCAGGTTAGAGTATATTATGAAGGCAGGGGAAGCAGGAGGTTGGTTCAGTTCTATAAAAAAATGAACTACCTTTAATCGGCACTCTTCAGAAAGTGATGTTGCAAATCAATATTGGACTCATAAAACTGCATTGCTGTATGCAGTAGAAGATACTGCGCTCTAGAAGAAGCAGTTTGAGTTGGAGGAGCCCTTGTGCAGCCTGTTATCTTATGAACTGTAGCAGAAAAATCAAATTTGGCATATTTTTGGATGATTGTGCTTTGCTAGTTAAAAATCAGTTTGGCCCTTGTGTTGCAATTGTCTGATCTGTTTGTGGAGCCCTGTAGCTGTCCTCTGTTGCAATCTACAGGCAGTTCGCTGGCTCCTCGCCCCTCTCCTGCTAGCTTGCAAAACCCTGACCTCTCGCGCTCTGTCACAACACGCCTTGCAAATCTGAGCCCGTTGCTGCAGGGGTGTGGGAGGTGACCAGAGCGTGTCTGATGGGGTCGGACTTGCAGCAGCTTCAGCTCTTCCAGCAGGTGACGGTGTGTGTATGTGCCCCCTGGGGTCCTGAGAGGCAGGTGGAAGGTAATTTGGGGGTCCCCACTATTCTGGTTATCCGGGAGGGCTGCTGTGTCTGCAGGATTTCAGTCCAGCTGGGTTCAGAAGAACCTGAATCGGGTCATTACTGGCTTAGCTGGGCCAGTTTACCTGCTTCCCCAAGCTCTGCAGGTGCTGCTGCTTTAGAGAGACCTGGAAGCCCTCCAGGGCCAGGACTGGGGACCCCTGATGTAACGGGGTGCATGCTCAGGTCTTGCAGTTGGGTGCCTTTTTTGCAGGTAGCTGGCAGAACGCGGTGCTCCTCGGGATGTTCCTGGTCTTCCCAGCTGATGTCCGTTGTCTCTTTTCCAGCCACCCCACCTCCTGCTGCAGTGCTGCCGAGATCATGTCGGTCCTGTTTTTCCACACCATGAAGTACAAGCCGTCGGACCCCCGCAACCCCAACAACGACCGCTTCATCATGTCCAAGGTGGGCTGTGGCCACGTCCGCGTGCACGGGGAGGTTGGGGGAACGGGATCTTCGGCCAGAGGGGTGGATCCTGATCGGCACCCTAGCCAAAATGACTCCTCCAGCCTGGGTATCCCCCTATCCGAAGACATGCCCTCTGGGGCAAGGGTTTGCATTCAGGGTCCTGGAGGCCCACCGGCTTGCTGGTTTTCATTCCATTGTAACTTGCCCGTAGCTATCAACCTTTAACTCACAGCTGGGAGCCCCACTGGAGCTCAGCCTGGCCAGTACCAGGATGGGAGACCCCCTGGGAAAGTTAAGGTTGCTGCTGGAAGAGGTGTTAGTGGGACCAGAAGGGGGAGCTCACCCTGTGGTCTATGTGGGCCCTAATGCCCCTGTATAGTCTGAGCTCTTACTTGACTCAGTGGTGTTTCTCTGAACTAAGAGCTCAGCTGGACCAGGCCAGCAGGTGTGCGGACCCCAGCTCCTGTCCTGGAGGACCTAACTAGTGTATTAAATGAGTTTTGGGCAGAAATGTACAGTAGCATTCTCCATGTCTTATTTTACAACATTTCTCTTTTTCGTGTGTACATGATCTGTTGTAGCGCCAAGCAGTTGTCCACTTGTAACAGGAAGTGTGGCACATCACCTGCTGGGTTAAAGGAGAGAGGTGGCAGTTGTTTTCTCATGAGTGCTGTGTCAGAAGTGTTACATAATGTCTATTTTTCACACTGCAGGTGAAACGCTATCCCAGGAATGTTAGGATCACGTCACTTTCAATAGTCACATATCCGATTTGGTGGGGTGGTGCCAGAGTCTATCCCAGAAAGCAATAGGAGCATGGCAGGCCAGAGACGGACAAGGGCCAGTTAACCTACCAGCATGTCTTTGGACTGTGGGAGGAAACAGAAGCACCTGGTAGAATTCCATGAGAACACATGGGGAAATCCACACAGATGGCATCCCCAGTGTGAAATTGAACCCAAGGTTCCAGCAAAGCGAACCACTGCGCCACAGTGCTGTCTTTAATCAGAACATGTGCTCTTATAATTAAATTTGTAGCTTTAAATTCATTTAAAAAAATTAATAACCTTGGTGTGACCAGTGGGTATAGTGGGGGATTATTCATTGCTGGGGGAGGTAACAAATACAGTGTAGTGCTTTGTGTCTGCATCTATGTTCTTAACCTCGAAGGCTCGTAAAGGTCACAAACAAGACGATGCTGTATTGATCGGATTAGTGCCTCTTGTCAGCTGACCTTTGCCCCCTCGCCCCCTGTGCAGGGTCATGCTGCTCCTATCCTGTACGCCGCCTGGGCCGAGGCTGGATACGTCAAGGAGGCGGATCTGCTGAACCTGCGCAAGTTCGACTGCGACCTGGAGGGACACCCGACTCCTGTGAGTGACGCCCGCCTCCCCTTTGGTGCTGAGCGCTGGTAAAGCCAGAGACCCCTGGGAATGAGGGGGGCAGTCCTGGTCCTGGGGGGCAGGTGACTCTTAAGATCTTTTTCACCTACATCACCGCACTGTGGGCTTCATGGGACCTGATTCCCCAAGCTTTTCAGGTGTTGGGGAGTTGAGATGAAGAGAAAGACCTGCAGACCCGGACCCTCTAGGACTGGGATTGCCCATCCTATCCCGTCAGACCAGTAACGATAACTCCTGGAGCCACCCTGCTGGATTGTGTACTCTCATTATTCCAAGTCGCAGAGTTATTGCAGCTAGAAAAGTATAAAAGAACAGTTTAACTATGACCTTCTGAGGCCCTTCAATATGAAAATGGCAATATTCTTTGCATCTTGGAATACTACCGGCAGGAGCGATTCCTGTTTCTAGTGGGGGAAAGTGAGCGGGGTGCTATGGGATTTGGAGATGGATTTGCTGCTGTGGTGCCTCCCCTGCCGATGGGCCCACCACAGACTGGACATGGAGAAGAACCTGGGAGGACTGGCGGCACACTTCCCTCCCAGTCTTGTCCGCTGGCCGACTGGATGGCTGGTGTCAAAATCCAAACCAGCCTCGTGCTGCAGTTGCTGCAGTGATCTCTTGCGGGGTTAACGAAGGCGCGTAGTAGATGCATCCGTTGAAGCTGCACTGCGTGTGTATAATCAAAGTTCCCTTCGCCTGTCTCTCTGCAGAAACTGGCCTTTGTTGACGTCGCCACGGGGTCGCTGGGGCAGGGTCTGGGCGCGGCCTGCGGGATGGCCTACACGGGCAAACACTTCGACAAGGCCAGGTACGGCCCCGCCGCTCGCTCCTGCGTGGTTGAGGGCGTCCAGTGCTGTCATCTCTGGTCAAGCCTGGGTGCCCCGGCGTCCAACCCATTGCTTTCGAAAGGAAGGTTGGGAAGGAATGGGGCAGCACCAGTAAGACTGTGGGGCTCCTGCGTGGCTCAACTAGTAAAAATGCTGGTCTTGGCACAGGTTGAGCTTTACGACCTGGGGTTCGAGCTTGGGTCGTGTTACTAATCCACTATAAGCAGTAGACGGGTGTCTAAGCGCTGCTGAGGGTTGGGTGGGGGTTATATTACAAGAGTTCTCTCCGCTCTTAGCGACACAGCGCCCCGCTGTGACCTGCCTGCTTGCAGGCTTGCCGAGCTGTCGTCAAGGGAGGTGTCTCCCCTGCAGTCAGCAGTGGTCCTCTGCTTGGGGCGACCCTGGCTACTCCTCCTGCAGGGTTTGTAGCTGTGAGCCGAGGTGTGAGAAAAACATAAAGGCCCTCTTGTGTGTACAAGACAAAAAGCGGTCAATGGCCGACTTTTGAATATACAGCTAACAATTGTTCATCCTGCAGATGGGGAGCTGTTGTGTAGAGAGTAGGCCGTGTAAGACCAAGCAGTGTTAGACAAGCTTTCAGTCAGGGCTTCAGTAAAGGGCTTTGTGTTGCATTGTGGGTAGCTCTGGCGCTGCTGTTCCTGTGTTGAACTGCTTTTCTTGGAAGAGAAGAGGGGGGGTGGGGATAGTGGTCAGAGAGAAGTCTGGAAGGATGGGAAGACCTTAGTGTCAGATCCAGTAGGAAAGTTTGGGATTGGGAATGCTGTAGTTGGAGCATTGGGACTCCACGGGAGCGGGATAGCGGCTTCTGGCCGCTCTCTTTCCTCTCAGCTCAATGCAGGTGGGCCTCCTCTTGCTTGCCAACACGGTTTTTCTTCTGCTCAGTTACCGCGTGTACTGCCTGCTGGGCGACGGAGAGTCGTCGGAAGGGTCTGTGTGGGAGGCCATGGCCTTCGCCTCCTTCTACAACCTGGACAACCTGGTGGCCATTTTCGACGTCAACCGGCTGGGCCAGAGCGAGCCCGCCCCCCTGCAGCACGACACCGAGGTGTACCGCAAGCGCTGTGAAGCCTTCGGGTGAGCGGGGGCCGGGGGACCCCAACTCTGGCGAGGGGGGGGGCTGGATGCCCAATGACATGACACGTTGTGTATGCACCTTAATCTGTTTTTGTGTTCAGAATGGTGATTGATCCAACCCAACCCAAAAAAGGGCTCCTGTTTCAATACTGGAGTCTTTCAGGGGATTTCACAGGGAGAGTTGTGCTTGTGTGTTTTCAGGGGGTAAATTAAGAGATTTTATCAAAGGCCAAGATCCTTGGCACACAAATGTTTGGTTAATAAGGGTTGGAAAAAGGAGTTACATAGTGGTGGAAATACAAATTATTCAGTGAGTGTTCTTGATTTAGTTCTTTATCAAGATACCTCCTGCTTATCTGAGCAGTTTTCCTTGCCAGGTGTAATGTACCCTGTTGCCTGTGTTCATAAGGCCATCTGCAGTCTGTAGCAGGGCTTCCTAGTCATGATGTCCAGATTCTCATTCCTCCTGAATGTTAGAAGCAGGAGACACTAAAGATACGGTGAACCACTTGTTTGCAGGTCCCTTCAATTGGGTGAATATTTATAAGGAAAGTTTAAAAGCCTCCTGCAATTTTAGAAGTGAGTTTGTCCATTTGGCTTGGTCAGTTCTTGGTGAAATCTGGGGTTCCATTTAAGAACTCGTTTCCCGAGCCAGATGTGGGTGTCTTGCAGCTGGAACACCTACGTGGTGGATGGGCACGATGTGGAAGAGCTGTGCAAGGCGCTGTGGCAGGCCAAGCAGGTCAAGGAAAAGCCCACCGCCATCGTGGCCAAGACCTTCAAGGGCAAAGGGCTCAAAGGTCAGGTGCTTTTGGATCATGTACTACGTATCCGGTCTGGCTTGTGATGAATCGTTCACTGTAAAGGTACTCGCTCAAGAGCAGGTTAAACTCTGTGACCGTGGCTTTGAGTGGAGGCTCTTCTGTTACTGGCTGTGCCAGAGATAACTCAAAAGGGGGCACACAACTGGACGTATAATGATGGGGTAGGGTGGGATTAGTCGATGTGCTCAGCGACCTTGACCCCTGTGACCAATCAACTTTGATCCTCCAGAATGGGGCTGTACTGCCTGTGTTTTTTTTTTTGAAAGAATTGGCTCAGGGCTCAGTCTACCTATACTTCCTCATTCTCCCCCGTGTGCGGTCGTGGTGTTGGTAGCTGCAAGCAGAGGATGTGGGGGGAAAAAAGTATAACAAAAATAAAATAGATGTTTATAGCAGGGGATCATTTTGAAATGTCCATTTTCCCTTGCTTCTGTTCCTCTTAAGTTACTTAAGAGCGCATCTTCAGCAATTTGCTAACTGGCATTCCCTGTTTCTGGCCGTGCTCCCAGGTATTGAGAACGCAGAGAACTGGCACGGCAAGCCCATTCCCAAGGACCGCGTGGAGGCACTGCTGGCAGACCTGCAGAGCCTGATCCAGACCAACAAGCCGCTGTCCCCCGAGCAGCCAGCAGAGGACGCTCCTCCAGTGGACATCTCCAATATCGTCATGCCTTCCCCTCCTGCCTTCAAGATTGGCGACAAGGTGGGCACAGTCATGAAACCTAGTTGGTTAGGGACTAACGAGACTGGGCTTAACCTACCTGGCCTGGTGGGTAGTTTAGGGCTCATTGATCTGAGGATCTCATCCAGCTGTTTTGTGTGGGGGAGGGAGAAACAGGGTTTCAGCTTTAACAACATTGCCAGGTAGCTTGTTCCACACTCGGTGGGATTGCTTTGTTACATGGAAATGCACCATTCATAGATGTGCAGAAAAAAAGGTGAAGGAGGTTAAGAAAAAGCAGCACAGCTGGATTCTGTTGAACAGCTTTGAGTTATGCTTGTCTGGCCTAAGATCAGTTGCAGCGCAGGGCCTGCTAGCTTGGCCTTGTATGTACATGGCCTGGTGCAGACTGCTCATGGCGATGGATATTCATGCCATGAAGGCCCTCTGAGAACCACCTGCCAAGGAGGAATGGGGTATTCTAACAAGGCACAGCTGTGCAGAGAGTCTGTGCAAGGAAACGTGGGGAAAATGGCCGACTGAGGCTTGTGCTCGGTGTCTGTCTTCCCAGATGGCCACCCGCCGCGCATACGGGCTGGCCCTGGCCAAGTTAGGGGAGGCCAGCGGGCGAGTGGTGGCGCTGGACGGCGACACCAAGAACTCCACCTTCTCGGACATCTTCAAGAAGGCCCACCCCGACCGCTACATCGAGTGCTTCATCGCCGAGCAGAACATGGTGGGTGACATTGGCCTGCTGTCGGACAGCGAGGGCCATCATCCAGTGAGCTTGAGGGCTGAAGAAACTAACCTGTGTTTGGGGGAGAAGACTAGCTTTTTAAAAATGCACAGTCTGGCCTACAATTAATCCCGTTTACCAGTGTTAATTGAAAGTAGTTTTGTCACACTAGTGACTGTGTTGTTGAAGCTGGCACGTAGTGATTTGGTTGTCTAGCACATAAACGTCTAGATCTGTGCATGCAGTAAGAACAATTTCAGGATAAGATGAGGTGCTCTATTCTGCCATGCCTTTTCCTCACATTGGGGCTCGCCATTTGCTTGAATTCTGCTCCTATTTCCCTTCCTGTTAAACCGTCTTCTCGTCTCCCAGGTGAGCGTGGCGATTGGCTGTGCCACCCGCGATCGCACCGTCTCCTTCGCCAGCACTTTCGCCGCCTTCTTCTCCCGCGCCTATGACCACATCCGCATGGCGGCCATCTCCCAGTCCAACGTCAACCTCGCCGGCTCCCACTGCGGCGTGTCCATCGGTATGGGGAATGCCTCCCCCTGGTGGAGAGGAGGTCGCACTGCAGCTTTCCAATTCGGAGTTTCCAGGGCAATTTGTTTTTGACGATTGTTTCCCGTGTTGGGCCCAGGTGAGGACGGGCCCTCTCAGATGGCGCTGGAGGACTTGGCGATGTTCCGTGCCATCCCCACCTGCACGGTCTTCTACCCCAGCGACGCCGTCTCCACGGAGAAGGCAGTGGAGCTTGCTGCCAACACAAAGGTACTCAGACCGGAAACCACTCAAGCTTGCTGCTGGCGCTGAACTGTGATTGTCATTCACGTCCTTAACAATTTATTCCCTGTAATGGGAACCTGACTACTGGCTGGCCCAGGTGTCGATTCCTCCACCCTTCTCATCTATTATATAAGACACAACAGGGGGGCACAGTGTGGCAGCAGTTACATCTTGATATCTGAAGCAGGTCTCTGGGAAATCGGTACATACAGAAAACATTTCTGTAGTCGGTTAGATTAAACTTCTAAAGTGAACAAATCCACAGCTCCTCTTTGAACAGTCTTCTGTTTGTCTCTTAAGGTACATAACTGGGCAGCTAAGCCACTTGAATACATAGGATAAATACAAGTCTTATTTTAAAACTGTCAAAATGTCTTGTAGGCCAGTTGGTCTGAGGCTCCTTCTTTCAGCACATAATGGAGCCTGTTGCTTCCTGGTTTTGAATTGTGACCCGACCAGTCGTCTTGCTCCAACTGGTCAGGTGACTGAGCACAGGTCAATCCCCACTGCTTTTTTGGGGAATGTGGCTCAGAAGAGATCTACCATCTTAGTGTAGTGAGACCCTGAGCAAAACTAATTAAAAGGTCCTTCAGGACTCCAAATGCAAAGGTTAAAATCACATCTTGGGCTCACCAGTTCAGAAGCTGAACTTGAAGAGTTTAACTGATCTGATTGGAGAACTGTTTTAGAATCCAAAGCGTTTCAGTCTCCTTTTTAAGCACTTCTTCCTTTTAAAACATCAAAAGTAAAATGCTTCCTCTGTTTTTGCTCAGGACATGGGGATAAAAAATCCATGTTATAAATTGTTTTCCTGCACTACAAGTAGTGTTGGTGTTCTTTTGAAAAACAAGTTCTGAAACTGATCTCCCTCTGACAATTGTTTTAATGACCAGATGCTCACTCTTTGAGGCCAGATCCCTTGTTGGCCCTGTTCTGGTTCAGTATCCCACTAGTGACTGTGGTGGCCTGGGAGTGGGCTTTTGACCCCTGACTGACCTTGCCTTCTCCTGTTCCCAGGGAATCTGCTTCATTCGAACCAGCCGCCCAGACACTGCGGTGATCTATTCCCCAGGGGAGAAGTTTGAAGTGGGACACGCCAAGGTGAGAAACCGGGGCCGTGGGGAGGACTGTGGTGCAGGGTTCTGGGTTTCCGTAGCTGTAATGGCACGTCTCTAACTGGAGGTACCAATAAACCAACAAAGATTGGTGGGGGATCGGTAAGGAGGTGTTGCTTTTTATGGCACGGTAACAAATGGGTTTAATCTTTGAACAGTACACTGGTTTCCAGTTTGCCCAGCTGCTCTTACAAGGTTTGCTTCAGATTGCCAAAATACTGTTAATGTTATAAATGCAGTGCCAGCTCCTTGATTGTTAGCACCAGAAAGGACTTTGGGCTGAACGGATTAATAGAAATGAACAGAAATATGGTTTCAGGGAATCCGGGACTTAAATGCACAATCCTTTGTTTGAGCCCTGAATCTGCTCTGCGCCTCCTATAAAACTTCAGCAGTAAACTTCAACCCACCTGTGGTCAGACAGTGCTTCAGTCTGTGCCCTGCGGTGGACCCAGCCCTGACATGAGTGCGTTTTGACAGGTCGTGCGGAAGAGCGACAGCGACAAAGTCACTGTCATCGGGGCTGGAGTGACACTGCACGAGGCTCTGGCTGCTGCAGATGAGCTCGCCAAGGAAGGTAAGAGGGCCACCTGCTGGCGGGCTGTGGTGTGACCTCTGCACAGTGGTGCCGGGATCCAAATAGTTCCTGTAGTATTGTGAGGGCTATGCAGAGGCGCTCCTAGAAATGCAGTAGCTGTAGAACACAAAGACATAACTGCCCATCAAAAAGATGACTTTTACTAGTTCAGTACTCAAGCTTCTACTTCAAGAGCATTGTGAGGAAAGGTGCTTTTGAAATAAACATGTATATGATAAGTCGTACCCATATCCCATTGTGTAATTTTGTCTGTATATGTAGCTATAATCAAAGAATTGGGATTCAAGCCAGTGCATTTAATTTATATGGAGTGCACATTATGCTTGTGTTCAAAATCACATCCTTTCAGTTTGTCCGAATGCCCATATAAAACATTAATAACTGTCCCATGGCTTTGGGTTGGGTGTGCAGTCAGGTGTGTGATGAACACACTGACCAGGGCTGATCGGCCCCCACCCCGCTGTTCTGCCCCTGCGGTCACCCCTGGGGTGATTGAGATCATGACGTGCATGGTGGGCCTATTGACCTTCTCTCTTGCCCGGCCTTAGGTGTCCACATCCGTGTGATCGACCCCTTCACCATCAAGCCCCTGGACGCCGAGACCATCGTCTCCAGCGCCCGCGCGACGGGGGGCAGGATCATCACCGTGGAGGACCACTATCGTGAGGGTAGGGGCGCGGAGGAAGGAACTGGGCTGGGTTAAGGACAGAAAGCCCTCTTGTGTGGTTTTGACCCTGGTCTCAGACTCCTAGCATCGATGCCAGTCTCCAGTTTCCACTCAGAGTGCCCTGGGCTGTGGCGATGCGTATGCAGGCCCTGTGGGATGCAGAAAGCTCGCTTCCCATCTGCAGTGGTCTGTGGTGTTGGGCACAAATGTGCATTTTCACCTTCCAAGACTCTGTACAAACGTGTCGGATCTGTGGCAGTAGGCCAAACTCCTGAGTTCAAGGAAATAATTTTTTTTCTAAACCAAGGATTGAGGCTGGTGCTTGGGTTTAGGAAAAGCTTACTGTTCCGCTAAGATGTATTTGTGTGGGGAAACTTTAAGCAGTCGAGTACTCAAAAATAAAGAAAAGGTGTTCTAAACCTATCCTCTGAGAGGTATTAAGTACATGAAGTCAAGTAGTGTAAAAGGAAAGGTGCCCACGTATTAATAGCGAGCTGCCTCCTAAGGCACACTGTATTCATTGTGTGTGAGCTGCTGCTGTACCTTGTTTTTTTGAGACTTGTCTCCCCCTTGTGGCTGGCTGTGGGTCTGCGATTGATTGTGCCTGGGCGCTGGCCCGGAGCCCCCCAGTCCGCTCCTGACGCATGTGCTGTGTCCCTGCAGGTGGCCTGGGCGAGGCGGTGTGCGCCGCGGTGGCCGAGGAGCCGGGCGTCGTGGTGCAGCGGCTGGCGGTGACGGGGGTGCCCCGGAGCGGCAAGCCCACCGAGCTGCTGGACTACCACGGCATCAGCGCCAAGTGCATCGTCGCTGCCGTCAGATCCACCTTTGCCAACTGAGGGCGTGCGGGGTCCCCCTTTCCACGCGGGGTCCGGGGCAGCTCCCCTCCACCTCTCTATTCCTTAGTGTCCCCACAAACATAGCCTGGTCCCTCCTGAGTGAAGTGGCTCTCTTCCTCGTGCTTGCGGAGCACTCGGCGCTTGGCCAGTGTATGTGCGTAGCGTCCCCCCACCCTTGAGTTAGAATCCGCTTGCAGGGGAGGCCTAGATCTCCGCAGCAGGATCCGCCACTGTCTTTGCCTTTCAAATCCTGTTTCTGACTCTCACCAGGTAGTTTTCCTAGATGAACCCGGGGAACAGCAGTGCACTACCAGAGAAGCATCACACTGAGTTCATGGGTTGGGCTGCACAGTTCCTTCCTGCAAATGAAGGGGAAGAAACCCACACACACTGCCGTCTTTATTGAAAACGTCAGTTTGACTTTTTCAGCAGCAGTGTACAGTACATGGTTTCCGGTCTTGCCCCCTGCTTAGTTAGTCCAGTGTTGGCTTTGCAGGGTGGCTGAAGCTGCACATTCCTTCCAGTGCGACAGTATACAATGAGTTTTCCCCTATCATCTTTAGGGGAATGATAGCTGAAAGTAAAGCAGAAGAAATCTCTGCTGGACCCTGAACAATCTCTATATACCCTGTGGCAACATAGCCATGACCCAGGGCTCCTGTCACTGGTCACCCACCTCTTCTACAGTTAACTTTCATTCCACTTCTCCCTGTTCCATAACTCTCAAGAAAGAGCCCTTCCTTTCCTCCACGTCACTGCTGTGTTACAGTTCAGCTGAATAAAAGTGTAACATTCCGTTTGTTCTTGCTTTTAAAATCCCAGTTCTTGATAAAGGACTCATTCCATGACATTTCTAGTTGTCTTAAAAAGCCTCTCTGCCAGTGTTCCAAACTCCCTGTTGCATCTGTCGGAAACCAGCGCTGTGTTATAAAGGGGGACAGTGTGTTTTCTTTAGCTGTCTCTAACACCTAACCGTTGTTCTCAAGGAGGCCTAAATATTTACTAATTCTGTTTCTTTGGCAAAAACTTTCTGCACTAAAGTCCTAGGGTAATTTGTTTTTCTTAGAAGTATTTTGGTAAAGGCAGGTTTGCTGTACTTCCAAAAAACAGCAGTGTCCTGCAAAGTTTGTTACCTGCAGCCTGTTCTGTCTTGTATATTTTATCCAGCCTCTGGTAGTTGTTTACACTCTAGGCTTTAAAGAAACTCAGTGTCTTGTCTAAAATGCTTCACTGAAGCGCTGTGCGACTTGTGTGGCAAAGATTTCAAAACCGCAGTTACACGAGGGTAGTTCATGGAAATAAGTACGTTAAAATCTGTATTTTTACCTGCAGGGTTCTGAATGTTTTTTTTTTAAGCTGCTGTTCCATAGAGTCTTAATCTGCATTTAGCTAAAACTGGTGGTTGAATTCTTTGGTCTTCCTTCCCTTTACTCCTATGAACGCTGCTGTGAGTGCTGCTTTCTCGATCAGGGCAGACTGTGTGGAGTTTGCATGTTCTCCCTGAGTTCACGGGGGACTCCTCTGTGAGTGCTGTTGCTTCAGGCAGGGCAGAGCATGTGTGCTGCTGGTCTGTGAGTGTTGGGGGGGGGTGGGAGTTTTTGTTACTGGTCAAAGTCATCTTGAGCTAACGAGCATCGCTTGTGCTACACTGATGTGGTTTATAGTGAATAAAGAGTTTGAGTCAAGTTTCCCTTGAGGTCTTGTTTTTACTCCTTTAATTCCTGGACAGTCTGAAGTCCTTCTCTTCCCTCTCAGGCTGTGTTTGAAAGATGTTTTCTATTCAATACTGTGTGAGTGAGAGGTTCTGAATTAGTGCCAATCCCATCTGGCCTCATTGCTGAGTGGGGTTTGCATTGGCTGCTGGTTATAATGATCCTTACGCATGCAGAGTTAGTACGGCTGCCTCGCAGTTCTGGGGCCCTGGCCTCAATCCCAGACCCCAGGGTACTGTCTGTGTGGAGTTTGCATGTTCTCCCAGGGTTGAGTGGGTTTCCTCCAGGTGGTGCAATTTTCTCCCCCAGTCCACAGACAGAGCGGTAGGTTAAATGGCTTCTGGAAAAATTGGTCCCAAGTGTGGGTTCAAGAGGGGGTTTGCAAGAGTGATGGAAACGTCAAGGTCAAATTAAATAGTCCTATTAAATAACAATGGAATAAGAAAAATAACAGTAATATTAGTATTTTACAAAGTGAAAGAAACATGTTAAGGGGGTTGCTTTTGTCTGTTTATTGAAACGTTTGATTTAGTTAAAATGTCAAGGGGGTACTTGAGGCAAATAATTTAGGTTGAAAGGGTTCAGCTGATAAAAAAAAAGGTTGGGAACCCTTGCTATAGTGGATAAAGCTGTTAAAAAATGCAGGTATCATTATTAATCAACTAATTAGTAACTCTTTAATAGTATTAACCTCTTTATCCAAGGGATGGTGGGATTATGGAACAAGCTAACCGGTCTTGTGGTTGATGCCAATACAATGGCTTCTTTTGAGAAGCAGCTGGATGAGATCCTTGGATCAAATAAGCTACTAACTCCCGGACGGCCTCTTCTTTGTGACCTGCCTTGTGGTCTTAGGAGGTCCTCACGATACGGGGCAGGTAAGTCTAAAAATTGTGAAAGCAATTGTTTGTTTTTTACATAGGCTAGCACAGGTAGGCAAACCTAGCAATTGGAAAAACAAGTGTTCCTCCTGGCCTACGGAGGACTAGTTTGAAATCTTCAGAGTTTAGGGGATTTAAGGGTGCAGAGTAAAAGTTCACTGCCGAGCAGCCTGCAGTTCCCCCGGAGCCCCACCAGTGGGCTTGTCCTACACATCCCTACTCTGACCCCTGCTGTGCAGCATCGGCGTAAACCTCCACATCTGTGTGACTAAAGACTTTGTCATTTCAGTTTCTTCCCTCTTCGTAATTCTAATAATGCATAGCTTTTTTGGGATCGGTCATGGGAGGTATGTAGGGGTGGAGCCCTTTGGTCCAGTTTTATAAATGAATACCCTGACGGGTAAGAGGTTTTAATAAAATGCAGTAAATGACTTCCTGTTGTGCCTGACTTTCTGGTGCTTTGGGGTTTTGGTTTTTATTCTTTATGATAAGGCTATTTGAGAGAACCATCAGCTCATCCAGCCAGACCTCGCCATGCTTTCTCGGTCTGGGGCAGTCAGAGTGCCTGTGACTCCCTACCTCAACTGCAATACCAGCCCACCCCCTGGCCCCGGCGATACTGGTCCATGCTTATACAGCTGGGTGCGCTGGAGTTACTGGGGTAAAGCACAATACCTCCCTGAAGGTACCTACAACCCCACAGTCAGAAGTCCAGGGAATCATTTACTACTTGAGGTAAAACCACAGAACACCCAGTTAATAGAATTATGTATTATAATTTATGAATGAGCTGTAAAATTTAACAAAAGCCTTTTTTAATCTAAAATGCCAGTCCCTATAGCTCTTAAGGACTATAGCCTCTGACTTAACTAAAAAAAATCACCAAAACACACAGGTTGGATTCTTTCAGTTTGATAGCTCCTGCAGAACTGCAATAAATCATTTTCTGGTTTCAGTTGGCAGTACCTGTTCTTTCAATTCAGATGATTAAGGTGTAGCAGCTGGGAAAGCAAAACCTAACACCTCTGTCAACGGGGGAGAAAAGAAGCAGTGAATGAATTTTAAGTTATGTGCACTGATTGGATAATATTTCCCAGCAGGCAAGTGTCATCACCGAAGAGATTAGTATACTGTACTTCTTTCTGGCCACACACAAAGCATAGTACTTTATCTTCTTCTTAATGAAGATGAGCAGGAAACCCTTCAGAGAGAGCACAGTGGTTTGTGGGAAAGATGTCAGTGCAGCGGTGTGATCTGTTCAGTGCTGTGGGAGGATCAGCGCTGGTTCCAGGAGCAATGGAAGTGCTGTGTGGGATTTGGGATTGCCTGCTTGTTTGAGAGTACCCCTATGGGTGTACAGTTCACACTTTGTTACTGATTGGTAGTTGATTAACTTCTTATCCCCCTAAGAGTTATGGGAGTAGGGACCAAGCTATGCATCCATGTTGTCGAAGTCGGGCCTTTTGGTTTCTTTCATGGAGCAGCTGCAAGAGATCCATTATCTTCCCACAGTGAGAAAAGGCTGGGACCAATGACCCCTGCAAAAAAAGAGAAGGGTTGAAAATGATTTATTAGACGTCAGGCTCGGTGGAGGCAAATATAACAACTGAGAAATGCTTCAGTGTTTTTCCTGCCCTGTAGAGGACCGTTTTGGACTTTAGAGGATTTAGGTATCAAGCCGAGGAGCAAGGCACACTGCTGGGCTCTAAACTGGGCAGCATCAGCACAAATGTGCAGCTGTTTGGGACTCCGGTCTTTGTCATTTCATTTTCATTCTCTTGTGTCCTGCTGGAACTGAAAAGCTTTTGGGTATTGTGCGTTTAGAGAGCAGCCTCTTCGTCACACTGGCTTGGGAGGAATGTGTCCTGTTGGACAGTGTTTAATCGTGTTTTTCAATTCTTAGTTTCGAAAACTCTAAGCAACACAAGACGTCAAAATGAGCTAATGTTCGTGCCTCCTGAATGACTGCTGTTCCCTTGTGGAATGATTCTGATTAAGCAGCTGTCTAGAGGTCGTCTTTGTTAAATAGCCCTTCATCCTCTACGATGGATACAATGGGGTGCTGCAGGTTCTAGTGTCCTGTGCAGTCCACAGCACTGTTCCTGTTCTATACATCCATGCCATTTCTAGCTGGGTGTTATATGAGCGTGATGCTGCTTGCATCAGCAAAGTTGATACTCGGGGAAACGGCTGTTTCATCCATGTGTATTTCTCTGGGTGTGAGGGTAGTCGTGACTGGACTCAACAGGAGTGTTGTTTTCTGTGAAACTAGGAGAGGACAGTATCTGACTGCGTGCTTGATTTTGTGACTAGACCAATGTTGTTGGATAAGAGGAATGGATAAAACACAATGAACGAATTCCTGTCATTCCTGAGGTTCTAGTGCCAGGCGGGTTGGGCCTTTGTCTTTCTGTACTGTGTTCAAGAGATAATTTCATTGGAGACACAGGCAACTGGGTCTGGGGTTGGGTCATTCAGTGCAGGAGCTCCTACAGCACTAAAGCTCGTGCTCGCAAGACCTGTGACGTCAGTTGCAGTGACTCCTTCTTTCAATTCAGACGATTAAGTTGCAGCAGCCAGTAAATCGAAACACAAGGTTGTACTTTCAATTTGACATTGATCTGCGAAAACAAGAAGATCGTGAAGCTGAACAAACTTTAAAAGTGTTAGTGTCTACACTGATAGTATTAAAGTTTCCCAGCAGGCAAGCGTCATTACTAATGTGATTAGTATGCTTATTTCTGACCACACAAACAGCAGAGCACGCAGGATGAGGTTCACCTTGTTAAATAATTCATCCTATTTCCAGCGTAATAAGAGAAGTAGGCAACTGTAAGAAATAAACAGTAGTTTTCATATGTAGTTGACAGAAACAGCCGTACAGAATTGAGGACTAACAAGGCTGGAAAAGCATTGATTCTGGGAATGTCTCACACTCCCAAACAGGATTTCCACACCGATACCCCTTTAATTCAATTGCCCCTTTAAGTAACATTCCCCTTAATTCAATTGGGAAAGCAATTTCCCTGCTTGATCTGCAGTGTCACCCAGGTGGAGGAACTGCCTTCAGTGGTAGATGAAGTGGTTCCTCTGCTATACAGTGCGTAATACACTTTCGGGATCCATTGGGATAAAAATCTCTATACAAGTCTTTTACTGTCATTGTAGTGTACTGATGGCAATTTCACCTCATATTTCAAATCCAGAAAACTGCCTCGATCACAAAACGTAGTTCACAAAGGACAGGAGGCCCCACTTCTCACCGGCTTGGTTTCAGGAGCGAAGCGATCTGCAGATTTCATCCAGCCATTTCTTTAAAAGAAACTATGAGGCAACATGGCTGGGGAGCTTGTTTCATACACACACCCAGGTAAACAAACACCTGTCCTGAGCTTTAAATGCCCTGTGCCCTGGCATGCTGTTCATTTGAAGGGCAGCATTTGCTTTTTTCGGGTCTCCAGTTAATGGGGGTTTTAGAATAAACATCTCATATGGACAAGGTGTGTGTCAAATTAGTAAGTGATGGAATGCATGTAGATCTGAGGGCTTGCCAAATGGGAGTGTGTTCTAGGAAATAATTATTGGTTCCTCCAAGGAAGGGGCATGTCTCTAGGTGTTATAAAAATCGGGTTTGCGTGGACACTCTTAGACCCAAGACTACACAGACGAGTATTTCTTGATGTTCCATTACTGTAAGTACTCTAAATGCCAGGCTGAGGTTGGGGAGATTGGAGACATGCCTATAGTAACAAATTGTACTGGGTGCTTTTTTTAGATCTGCTTTGCAATAAATAATTTTTTAGGAACAGGTAAATGGCAATTAGAATGGGCTTTGTAAACATGGTGTTTATTAGAAACAGGGTGCAGTTCAATTAAAAGCATTATTAAATTTGAGCATAATTCATATAAACGAAATTCCATATAAATATTTCCATATCCTTGTTAAATGTTCAATTGTATCCAGATTACTTCTTTGTAAATATACCCTTTACACTATTACCTGTCATTTTTAAAACTTGAGTGCCTTTGGATGATTTGATTAAAAGTAAATGCACTATATAATGTTTCTTCTACTGCTGGTTTGTGATCTGCAGCTA